ACCAGTGTCCCTGCCTCCCCCCCCGGCCGGCGGCGCAGCTCTTGCACAAGACCTTGAGTCACAGTGTGCAGAGCGGCGTGCGACCTGCCGGGCAGGCGAGGTGATGACACCTGGGGGCACGGCTCTGGTTCCCGGAACAGTCAACACCAGGGCTCCGGGGGAAGCTGCCACAGTGACTTTGCCTCTGGAGCCGGGGCCGCGTCTGACAGGCCAGGGGCATCCTGGGAGTAGCGCATGGCGGTGCCAGGTGAGGTGGAGGAGCCCACAGCGCCTTCACTGGGTGTGGCGCGGCGACAGGTGCTGGCAGGGTTTTCTGGTTAGAAAGTCCTCACCCGCATGGGGGGAGGGCACCCGGAGCCTCTGGGCCAGGCAGCTTCTCCCAGGTGTCTTCCTCCTGAGTTTTGCTGACCTTCCGCACCCAGGCTACAAGGTGCGGTGTGGCTCCCGGCAGCGGGCTCTGGGCTTGGCTCTGTGGGTGTGTGTCACACACCCTTCGTTCTGGTGCAGTGGCCAGGGGCACGTCGGCCTGTGGGTGTCAGCAGGGGAGGGGAGAACGCCCCGCCCCAGCTAAACACTGACGCAGCAGATCCACTGTAGACCCATTTCCAAGCTCTTTGTCCCCGAGCCCTGGGGTGGCTCCGTGCTCGCCCTTGAGGGCTGTGAGCTCCAGCCTGAGCCAGACCTGGGCGCAGGCGGCTGCTGCCCAGGAGGGAGCCTGCTCTGTGTGCTGGGGAGGAGGGCGTGGAGCCCTGAGCTCAGCAGTGAGACCAGCTCCCTGTGGCTGTCCTTGTGGAAGAGCCTGCGAGGTCCTTGGAGGCTGGGTGTGGGGGGGACTCATCCCCCTGCTCTGCCAAGCCAGGCATCCTCCTGGTGGGGCGGGCACTAGTCCCCCAAGGCCGAGAGAAGGGAGGGCACCGAGGCACCCAGGATGTGCTGGCCGCAGGGCCCTCGTCCAGGGGCTTGTGATTCTGTCACCTCTCAGTTCCTGGGAAGTGGGGCGCTCAGGAGCGTCGTCTTTGTTGACAGGCGGCTCGAGGGGGGGGTCCCTGTTAGCGTCTAGGGTCCCAGGGATGGTTTCCTGCAGTCTCAGGCCCAGGTGTAGGCCGAGGACTGGTCCCATAGGCAGCCTGCACAGGCCCAGGTTCCAGGCCGTCCCCAAGGTCAGGGCCCTGTTCTGGGGTGGGTCCTGGTTCTGAGGCTGGTGCCAGGTGTGCCCAGGTGTCTCCAGTGGCTGTGCTACCTGGACAGCCCAGGGCGGCGTCCTCTGGGACCACACAGGACAAGTGCTGTCATTTGGATGAAAGCGTTTCCGAGAAGCTGATACAAGCTGCACTGAGCCACACGCCGTCACCTGCTGTGCTCTCTCCACAGGAGGACCCGCTCTCTGCATGGGCCATGCCCAGTGACCACTTTTGGACCAAAGGCCTGTGTGCTGCAGAACCCCCAGACCATCATGTGAGTGTGGGGGGGCGGGTGCTCCCTGCCTGGGGCGTCCAGTGGGGTCGCTGTGTGTGGAGGCTCTGGTGCTGAGTGAGAAGTCGCTCAAGTGGGTGTCTCCAGTGCCTTTGAGAATGGGGGGGGGGGGCGGGGGCCAAGTATGCCCAGTTTTGATTTGACTTGATTTGATTTTTCAGTAAAAAATCTAGGAAGAAAATGCCATATATTATACTCGCACACTTGGTGGGGCAAATATGTTTCTCCTTTAATTGTTTCTAAAATGCAAGACGTTGGCTGTTTGGAGAATCTGAGTGACTTGTTGGAGGAGATCGTGCCTCCAGGTGCTGTTCCCACATCTGCTCTGGAGCCGCCCGAGGGCCGCGCACCTGCAGTGGCCTGTGGCCGAGGAGACGTGTTTGTTTATTTATTTATTTATATTTTTTTAAAAAGAGAAAGCATATTTTAAATATACATTTTATTGATTTTTTTACAGAGAGAAAGGGAGAGGTATAGAGAGTTAGAAACATTGATGAGAAACATCGATCAGCTGCCTCCTGCACTCTCCCCACTGGGGATGTGCCCGCAACCAAGGTACATGCCCTTGACCGGAATCGAACCCGGGACCTTTGAGTCCGCAGGCCAACGCTTTATCCACTGAGCCAAACCGGTTAAGGCCAAGGAGACATGTTTAAACGCTAAGCAGCCTGGCCCGGCCAGAGCGGTTCAGTGGGTGGAGCGCCATCCTGCGCTCGGAGAGGTGGCCTGTTTGCTTCTGTCACGGCACTGGCGGGTTTCAGACTCAGCCCCCAGCAGGGGGCGTGCAGGAAGCAGCTGTTGTTTCTCATCGCCGCTTCTCTCTCTCAAAAATCAATAAAAACATATTTTTAAAAATTATTAGAGCAGTTTTAGGTTCACAGCAAAATTGAGGGAGAGGTACATAGATTTCCTACCTGCCCCCACCCATGCACATCCTCCTCACCACCGACCCCTCGTCACCACCAGGCCCGGGTACACTGGGTCCTGGGTGCTGTGCGTTCTGGTGCACAGGCGGGCAGTGATGTGTTCACCACGGTTACCACAGGCGTGTCACTGACCCCAGATCCTGCGACTGACTTTAAAGGGGGGCTTTTAGCTGTAAAAGTTGAGGGTCATCTGAGTTGCTCACGCAGAGGTGTGCCGTGGGCTGCACCCCGTGAACAAGTCAGCAGGAAGCCTGGGTCCTGCGGGTCTGCATGGCCTCCGGGCAGAGTCCGCAGCGGGTGGGTTGGGTGTCTGTGGGAGGCCTGGTGTCCTGCCTCCCATGGAGGGAGGGGTCGGGTGAGGGTGAGGGAGAGGGAAAGGGAGAGGGAGAAGGTGAGGGAGAGGGCGAGGGCGAGGGCGAGGGCACCCCGCAAAGGGCCCCGCTGGTCTGTCTGGGACCAGGTCTGCAGGGCTCTCACCCTAGGTGCTGTCGGGACTGAAAGCTCAGATCAGCGGGGAGATCAGGGACCAGAAAGGCGCACAGTGGGCGCTTCAGGCAGCAAGTGCCTGGGAGACACAGCTTCCCAGCCAGGGCCTTCCAGGCAGGAGGAGGGAGGCGGCCCCTCGGGACTTGGCTGGCCCAGCCCTAGGGCTGTTGACGCCTGTGGTGCCCCTGCAGCAGCGAGAGCTCCTCTCCCTCAGGCACATCCAGGACCCTGCCAGCCAGCGGTTGACGTGGAACAAGTCCCCGAAAAGCGTCCTCGTCATCAAGAAGGTCCGGGACGCCAGCCTGCTGCAGCCCTTCAAGGAGCTCTGCACGTACCTGATGGAGGTGCACGCGGCCCAGACCCTCATCCCGCCAGCAGGACCCCCGGGTGTCGGGGGCACGGGCCCCGGGGTCTGAGCCAGCAGGACCCCCTGGGTGTCGGGGGCACGGGCCCCAGGGTCTGAGCCAGCAGGACCCTAAGGGTGTCGGGGGGACACGGGCCCCGGGGTCTGAGCCAGGGTGGAGAAGGCAGGAGGCTCGCTTCACAGTGGCCATCTGGGCAGTGAGGGCGATTCGCAGCCGAGACGCGGGAATTGGTCTCCCTGGTCGTAAAGCGCTGAGATGGCCGGCTGGGCCTCGGGGGCTGACGCACCCTCTGCCCCCAGGAGAACAACATGATCGTGTATGTGGAGAAGAAGGTTCTAGAAGACCCTGCTATAGTGGGTGACGACAGCTTCGGGCCCGTGAAGAAGAAGTTCTGCACCTTCCGAGAAGGTGAGCGCCTGCGCTGTGCCTGCGGGAGCAGAGTCATGCTCCCTGCTCGCGGCTGACGCGCCTCTCGCCTGCCTTCTAGACTATGACGACATTTCCAACCAGATCGATTTCATCATCTGCCTGGGCGGGGACGGGACCCTGCTCTACGCCTCCTCGCTCTTCCAGGTGAGTCCATGCGGCCTCCCGCTGCAGGGCTGCGCCGGGAGCGTCAGGGTCCTCGGTCTGACGGATGCGGGTACAGACAGCCAGCGCCTCTCTGTGGTGCTGGAGCTGGGGGAGGGGCCGTGGGGGTGACCCTCCAGGGCCTGGGGTTCGGGTCCCTGGGTGGCCCCAGCGGGGAGAGTCTGCACAGGAGCCCAGTGGGCTGTCCTGAGCCCTGAACCCACCTCACTCCTGCATGCCCCAGCCAGGGGTCAGAGGTCAGGCCTGGAGGCCGTGGAGAGGGCCCTCCTGGCCTTGCTGACCTCAGTGGTCACGTCACACGGCCTGGCGCCGCCCCCTGCAGGCACTGGCCCTGGGGAGCATGTGGTCAGCCACACGGGTGACCAGGACAACTGGTCAGCTAGTGACTGCTCCGTCGACCTCAGGGCAGCGTGCCTCCCGTCATGGCGTTCCACCTGGGCTCGCTGGGCTTCCTGACCCCCTTCAACTTTGAGAACTTTCAGACCCAAGTGACTCAGGTGATACAGGGTGAGTCGGAATGTTCTGGAACCCACAGCAGCTCTGAGCCCGGCCTCATCTTCTCCCTTGGTTTGGGGTTTTTTAAAGAGTTCAGGGAAACGTAGTATTTCAGGTTTCAGAGACCCCCCTCCCCCTACTGAGTTTATTGGGGTGATGCTGGTTAACAGAACTACAGGTTTCCCATGTACAGTCCCCAGCGCTGTACTGGGTGCTCACCACCCGCTCAAGTCTCCTGCCATCACCAGGTACCCCACACCTTCCCCCTCCTACTCCCCTCCCCCCTCCAACGTTCAGCGATTTCTACACTTGATTGGCTCAGGCCTGTTTCCTAACATCGAGAAGTGTGAGCAGGTCCCAGGTCGAGGACACTGCGTGCCGGGTGGCAGTGGATGGGTTATCACAAAAGACAGAAGTGTTGCTCTCGCTTTGGGAGGAGAAAGGGGGGTCCCTGGTCGAGGGGGGCTCTGCTTGCTATGAGGTGTGACCCGCCCGGGTCCCTAGGGAACGCAGCTATTATTCTCCGGAGCCGGCTGAAGGTCAAGGTCGTGAAGGAGCTCAGAGGGAAGAAGATGGCCATCCCTAACGGGGTCAGTGAGAATGGGGTGCTGGCCTCGGACTGGGACACGGAGGCCGGGAAGCAGGTCATGCAGCACCAGGTCAGTGGACATGTCCCTCAGCTGTCTCCTGGCCTCGGGAGGGGAAGGTGGGGGACTTTGGTTGGACCCCAAGGGGAGTCCCCCCTCAGGACCTTCCAGACAGCCCAGGAGCAGCACAGGTGCCTGTGGCACAGACCCACCTGGAGGCTGCTCCGCCCCTCAGTGTGTGCTGGCCTCACCTCCCCAGGTCTTAAACGAAGTGGTGATTGACAGAGGCCCCTCCTCCTACCTGTCCAACGTGGACGTCTACCTGGACGGGCACCTCATCACCACGGTGCAGGGTGATGGTATGTGGCATCTGTCTGTCATGGGTGCCCTGGGACTCGACGCGGGCGGTGGGCGCATGGAGAGTGAGCCTACGTGGGCATCGGGTCTGTCGTGGGCGCCTTGGGACTCCACGCGGGCAGGGGGCGCATGGAGAGTGAGCCTGCAACTGCTCCTCAGGCGTGATCGTCTCCACCCCAACGGGCAGCACGGCGTACGCAGTGGCGGCCGGGGCCTCCATGATCCACCCCAACGTGCCGGCCATCATGATCACTCCCATCTGTCCCCACTCCCTGTCATTCCGGCCCATCGTGGTCCCTGCAGGAGTCGAGCTCAAGGTTAGAGCCCTCGCCACCCTTTCCAGGCCGAGTTGTCGCCAGGGGCTCGTAGTGCTGACCTCCACTTCTGCCAGCGGCCTCGTCCCCCGGTTCCCCCGCAGCGTCCCCCCCTCCCGTCCTCATCTCTGCCCATTGGGCTGGCTCTGCCGGGGGGTGGGGGGCGGTGGAGGGGCCAGGGCTGCGCTGAGAGCTGGGCAGCCCCTCGGGGTGCTCTGTCCCCACGGAGTGGGGGCTGCTCTGCGTGGAGTCAGTGAGCTGGAGCAGGGCCTGGCCCTGGGTTCCAGCAGAGGGTGGACGTCTTCTCCTCCCAGAACTGGCCTTGGCCTCTAGCGGGTGCTGTGGGCACCTCCAAGGCCCCCCAGTCGGTGCCGCCCTCCAAGGCAGGGTTCTGAGATGTCACACCTGTCTGCTTGATCCCTGCAGATCATGTTGTCACCGGAAGCAAGGAACACCGTGTGGGTGTCCTTCGACGGACGGAAGAGGCAGGAGATCCGCCATGGAGACAGGTGGGTGGGCGCTGGGCCGGAGCAGGGTGAGGAGTGAGGGGTGTGCCCGCCTGCTGCCCTCCTCCTCCTGCCACGGGGTCCTTGTCTCACATTGTCACCTGGGGACCCATGCCTGTCGGCAGCCTGTCACACACGCAGGTTGCTGTGTGGCCCTGTGGTCTGCTCTCCCTGGTGGGGAGAGATCGAGCTGCTCGTGGCTGCACCTGTCTGCTCTGTCTCTTCATCCTACCCGCCTTGGGGTCCCCTCCAGGGACTGGGGTGGGCTGAGTGGGTTCATGGCTCTGTCCCAGGACATACAACAGTACCCCTGGGACCCCTGGCCAGGCTGGAGAGCCAGGTCTGAAAAGGCTCCTCACTGATGAGGATGGGCCCTGCCTGAGGGAGGGTCCTGCTGGGCGGGGCGGCAGGTGCTGCTGACCGGCAGGCCTGGGCCTGGGCTCACGCGCACATTGCGTCCCCAGCATCAGCATCACTACCTCGTGCTACCCGCTCCCCTCCATCTGCGTGCAAGACCCCGTGAGCGACTGGTTCGAGAGCCTGGCCCAGTGTCTGCACTGGAACGTGCGCAAGCGGCAGGCCCACTTCACGGACGAGGAGGGGGAGGAGGAGAGCTAGCCTCGCCGCGGCTGCACGTGTGGTCCCGTCACATGCCCTGCCGGCATCAGTGCCAGTCTTCTGTCTGTAGCCAGAGAAGGAGCCCAGAATCTGCCTTGTCAGCCGCATCAGCCGTTTTTAGCATTTTAAATCTGACCTTTTTTGCATTTCTATATAAGCCACGTAAGCGAGTCAGGCCCATCCCACGAGCTGCACGGGCTCTCCTGTTCTCTGTCAGGAAACCACGGGTCAGCCTGTCTCACTGAGAGGGAGCAGAGTGGAGGGACCTGTCCTTGGTGTGGAAATAAGTGTCTCACAGCCAAGTCTTCCTGCGGCCACAGGCTCCCGTCCCGCACCTCCCGCCCCGACCCCCCAGGGGAACACCTGTGAGGAGCACTTGGGAGCTGGTCACAGGCTGGTGGGCGGATGGGCCCCGCCTCCTACCCCTGCTTTGGTGTGACGGGGCCACAGAGTGAGTGTCACCCGGGAGCCTGGTGGCGGCCAGGTGAGGTCGGCCCACACATTGCTCACGAGTGAGTCGGCCCCGCCCGGCGGGCAGTCTCAGACTCTCACGCTGTGCGCAAGGACGACCGTGGAGCCCCGTCCTGTGTGCTCTGTGACGCGGGTGGGACCTCTGTCTAGTCCGCCATGGCCGCCGTGCGGTGACTCATTTAGGAGCCTTGGGCCTCCCCAGTTGTCACGAGAAGATTGGGACAAGCGTGTGCGAGCGGAAGGGAGTGCTGATGCTTCATGCGGGCCCTGGGGTACAAGGACACCCCATCATTCCAGCATCGCCCTCCCTGGGCCCGCTGGCTGGGGCGTGTGCAAGCGTGTGGACAGCCTGTGTGGAGTCCATGGTTGGAGCCGAGGCTCAGTAGCTGGGGCGTGTGCAAGCGTGTGGACAGAGCCTGTGTGGAGTCCATGGTTGGAGCCGAGGCTCAGTTTGCATGTGGCCTTGGCGCCCTCGCCCAGCAGACACCCTCCGTGGGGCCTTTGAGTAACGGGTTTCTCTGTGGGTTTCCATCAGCTGCACAGGGAGAAGGGAAGGGCTCGGCACCGCCCTGGGCCTCACGTCGGGGCGATGGCGGGCAGGGTCTTCCCCCTGCAGGGACGCACGCCCCAATCTTGTGCTAATGAGGTGTCCAGAGCCACATGCGTGGCCACCCTCGGCCAGGCCTCGATGGCTGGTCTCTGCCCTCCGTGCCTGTGTGGACGTGTGTTGATGGAGTGCTGTGCCCACTCTTGTCCCTGCTGGGGCACCTCAGCACCTGGACCTCAGTGGTGCTTGGCACTCGGCCCGGTGTTGGACACAGGTGGGCTCTCCCTGCACCTGCCCACCCACCCGCCCTGAAGCAGCACGATGTTGGGATGGTCTAGAAAGCTATGGGTTTTTTGAAGTAAATTCTTAATATTTCATATTGATAATATCCTGAAAATTTATTGAATGTTGTTGAAAGTCTTATTACTATTTTCAGATCCTTTCAATAAACAGACTTCTTTAAAAAGTTGGGTTGAGTGACTTTATTTGGTTCTAAGACTGAGGGAGGTGGGCCGGGTCCTCCTGAGATGGGAGAGACGCGCCGAGAGCTGTCCCAGGGGCTCTGTCGGCCTTGCCCCTGGGGTTGGCAGGTGTCGGGGCAGGGGCTGTGGGTGTGGCCGCCTGACCCACCGGGAGGAGCAGTAGGGGTGCAGAGCCTACAGATGGGACCTGCTCCGAGGTGAATGGAGGGGCCTCCGTAGTCCCCGGGGCCCCTCGATCCTCGCCAGCTCCATCCGGCCTGTGGGGTTGGGGCCAGGGCTGGAACTTGGGGCACCTGCCTCGCTCCCCTGCTCCTCCCCCACCCCCCCAGCCCTGGGTGGGGGTGGGGCAAGGCTTTGCCAGGATCAAAGTGGGCGCTCCAGGCTGGGACAGGGCACGGGGCCGGAGCCGGCATCAGCCACATGGCCGCGCCAGTGTCCACCGCTCTGCCTGTTCGATCACAGGCGGGG